TTTTCTTGGGCGCGCGTGTGGCCAAAATATTGAGTGTGAAGCAAAATTTGATGTGGAGAGATGATTGAAGGTTTTATATTTTTGCAATGCCCGGTAAATTGACACAGATGAAATTACGGGCGCGCGCGCTTCTGCCAATGGATTAATGACCCCAAAGTGACCGATTGAGAGATGGATTATCCAGAATTGACATGGCGACCAGAGGTGCGTATTAAGAATATTTTCCCTGAAGTACGGAAAAAAAGTAGAGTGTGATGTGTGTACACCGAAGATGGATACCCTCTTCCGTTTCTCTGTGTTTCTCAACTTCGTCGTAGACTTGGCACGGCAGTGGCCTCGTTAAGTGGGAAAAAAAAGCTACAAGAGAGCCCCTGAACTCCGAAAAAAATACCACACAGTCGCACTTTCTCACAAATTGTATCAAAAATGCGCTGATGTATGGGACAAAAGTGACGCACACCACTACAGTGATAGAGGTGGAATTAATTCCTGGAATTTTTGACTGATGCATAGCTAGGTTCTCCGAAGGAGGAATTCTTTTTCTTCCACACTGCTCCTGTTTCTCGAGTGGGACACCTACATTCTTTCTTTATTTTTTCAGATCATGCAACTCTGGTGTGAAGCGAATTGTCAATGTGTGTGCGTGATAGATAAATTCTCGGGCGATAAAGCCACACTATATGTGAATTTCCTTCGAAATGAAGTAGAACGAAAAAAAGAGGCCTGTGGCGCGGTGAGATTGAAGAAAAAATAGCGGGCAATTGTGTGTGCGTGAGTCCGTCTGCTTCTCTGGGGTGTATAGTTTTCTTTGCACATGGCGCTGACTGTGGGAAAGATGCGAGCGCGAGTGTGTGTTTGTAGGCGAGACGGCGATTATAGGCGCGCATGTGGTGTGAGGGAGAGAGCGATGTATGTTGAATTTTGTTTACACGACATACCTACCGCCATTTTGTTAAATTGCTGAACGGCGACTTCGCCGGATGAAGTTGAGGACACTTCTTTTTTTGTTCGTCTCATTGGCGCAAAAGGGCGGGAAAGTGCCATGACCGCGCGTCACGATGATCAAGTGATCTCTGGGTGAAGTTGGTAGCCTAGGTTGGGGAGCATAGACTATTTTCGGTGTGAGGACTTTTTTCGCAGGAGCTCAGAGGAAGTGATATTAATGCGGAATGGTGTGTTGGGTGGAGTGAAATGGAGGTACACACAGAAGTCATGAGATGGGTGTCTCTTTCTCGTGAAAAATGTAGGGGAAACGGTGTAGTCTAATAGGAGTCGCACATAGAGTTGTCTCATTTAGAGTTCAAATACCGGAAGTGGTATCTATAAGAAAAATACTGAACGTGTGTGCGTTGGCTGTGTTTGCCGATGGGAGCACAGCAAGAAATGTTGAGAGAGAGCGAGAGAGAGAGGGACTCGAAAAAACAACCATGATACCACGCTCACAGGGTGATAACACGAAATATTTCGTATATTTTCCTCACTTGAAGAGTTGGTAAATAAATTGAAAAGACGTGTGTTTATAGTGTGGAGAGAGAGTGCCTCGTGATGATTTATGGAGGTGAGTTGTGTATACGATTTGTTGAGCAGTCTTTGGTTGTTGGATTTTGATTCCCGCCAAAAATTGTTTGTAGTATGTAACCATCAATCAATGGGGAGAGAAACTTGTCTTCGGCAGTGTGCTATCTCGTTCTGGTGTTGTGTGTCACAGAACCCTGGAAAGTTGAAGACACTCCGCACGGTGTGGTCTGTGAGGCTAGAATGAGAGGTAGATGATGGAGTTATGCTATGTGTGACAGTCCTGTGCGACGCTGTAGGTACTCTATTGACGCATATAATGCCTGGGATGGTGTGTACATACATATTATAAAAATTCTATAAAGTTCATTTACCCCTTCACCATGGCGATTGAGAATCGCGCGCTGAAAATTCGCAATGAAGCCACCAGTCGTCGCGAGATCGCTTCTCACACTATCACCATCTCTGTTGCACTAGTGGCGGATGGTATGGTGGTGTCTCTGCGCTGTGGTGTTGTGACTTAGTGTGTGAGAGAGCGAGAGGTGCGGTGAGAGGTGAGCGGCGATACTCTGTCCAGCAGATTGTGTGGGAATTTTTGTGATGAGAGAGATCCTAAAAAAAAAAAACAAAGTTTCTTTGATATTTTATCTTGCTCATTCTTTCACTTTGTGTCTCCTCTTTTGGTGTTATTTTTACTTCCCAATATCAAGTATAATCTCAAGAGTTTTGAGGTGGTACTGTCATCTCTGTCGCTCGGCGGCGCATGAGTGAGACGGTGAGAGGTGAGAAAATGCGCGCGCAGCGAGAGAGGCGTCGATCGTGGAGAGAAGCACAACTACCATTCATGAAATTCATGTGTGGTATTGGGAAGGAGCGCGTGTTGTGTTCAAGTGGCAAATTAGTGTTGCCACATGAATGTCATTTTAGAACGTGTGGTGATATTATCATGAACACCGTGTGTGTTCACACTGTGGGGCTTTTTTCACTATTTATTTAATTTATTTGATAAAAATACGAGATAGCGCAAGTATTGCGAACCATTGAGAGGTGGCTCTCGCAACTTGTTGACGAGAGATATTTGACCACCAATGACCATGGAATTGGTCAAGTTGCGATTCAATCGATCGTGATCTGATGTGAATCTTTGCGTTGGGGGGAAAACAACTGAATATCACACACTAATTGATTATCAGATCCTGTTCAACAAGTATCTGTAATGTATGGAAAACTTCGGCAGATGTCTAACGGAATTGTCACAAGAAAGGCCTTCGTAATGTATACATTATTATTATTGTTATCACTTAACGTACTTTTCTGGGTGCAATTAACTCTCCAGAGCTTCTCGTTTTAAGCATAGCGTCTTGAATTTGACAAAAAAAACTCAGCTAGGATTTAATTCGGTCGAAACTTGAAATGTCACAAATGGCGCGCTTTTGAAAAGGATCATTGATGTGTGGCTTTTTGCTGGCTGACATCATAATGCGCTTCACATAAAATATGATACTTATGAATTGAAATGCTGGATACTACGGCGTGCGAGAGACACACACATGAGTGAATCTCTATGTGAATTGCGCGATGCTGTTGTATATATAAAAAATATGCCTCCAAATGGATATGCGAGAGTGTTGAAAGTGACTGAAATTGATGGTCAGACAAAAAGTGTTCAATGAAAATCCCCCCCAAATGGTGTGATGTCGTCGCTATGTTATCGACTTTTCATATCTATATCCATTCAATTTTTTCTGTTTGTCCTCTGACGCTTATAAATGTTTGGGATGGATAATTTGCGCGAGAAGAGGCAGAGAGAGAGAGAGAGAGAGCATTGACTGTTGGTGAAGTTTGACTAGAACTGCTGATATGGGCTGTTGGATTGGCGTGAAAGAAGAATTCGCGGAAAGTTTAATTTCCCACCCGAGAATGGACTTGTTCGACGCGCGCTCGTCGTTGATAGAGTTTGCAGTTTCACCTCTTTTGGAATGTCAACAATACAACAACACCAACAACAACAACAACAAGATGAGGCGAATTGGGAGGGAGTTTGTGGGTCTCCAGCAATGCATTTGGTGATTAATCCATTTTCTACACTCTGCAGTCGTTCCAAATTGACGACAATCATTGACGTCATCGATAATCTATTTGCTGGCCTATCTCTCGAGAGTGCGGAAGTTGAAGCATCGTCCGTGTGTCCGCTCGTGTGTACGTTGGGATTTAATAATAGAACATTTTCATGGGAGGAAATGGAGCGATTGTTTGGTATTTGGGTTTTCTGTTTGTATATGTGGTTTTTCATTGCGCGAGTGGAGGAGCTTTGGCTTTTTGATGAATTTTCGCGGAATTAATTAACCCATCAAATCATAATTTGTCGTCGTTGTGGTGGGTTTCTGTGGATGTGGAGGGGTTGTGAAATGGAATTTACGACGGACAATGCTGGATTGCCAGCAGATGACACGCGGTGAGAGAGAAGAGGGTCGTAATTCTAGGGTGTGTCACCATGTGAAGACTTCTCACTCCCTTTTTCTCACTGTGTAGCTCCGATTGCGTGTGTGTCGTGCTGTGTGAGTGTGTGTTTGAATGCGTCTGCAGCACTTCCGACCTCAGCAATGTCTCAACGACGGAAAGAATCAATCCATTTAGATTTTGTTCCAACCGTGGAACGCATGACGCGCATTCCGACACGAAAATGACTATAGTGTCTATGTTTTTGAGGCGATCATTGCCCTTGTGGCGTGGTCTCTTGGCGTACGCGATGAAGATGATGCGTGTAGGAATGGGTCGGTTGCCAACAGGCATCAGACGCCACGCATCCAAGATGGGATCTGTGTGTTCTTTGGCCAGGGCAAGAGCGAGAGGAAGAGAGAGAGAGAGAGAGAGATGTGTAAGGGCCCGCCGTGACAATTATCATCTCTTTTCTCATCTATAAATCACTTGTCATTTTGCATGACTTTAATTGAATTTGCCAAGTGCTTGGGGGCCCTCTTCATCACCCTCCCCAAGACGTGTGATGAGGGTTGGAACCAGGAGAAATCACTAACAGCACTCAATAGAGTATCTCCACTCACTTTGATTATAAATAAAGCTTGATGTATTTGACTTTTTTCTTCCAATTACTTTTGTGCACAGGGTGGGAATGAAAGAGCCTTTCCTCATTGAAAATGTCCCTGGAATAATTTCTATATTGGGATCTTAGCCGGAAATGCCCCGTGCTCTCCTATCTCTCTCTCTCTCTCGAGAGTGTGTGAGAGCGAGAGGGAGAGGAAAAAAAGGGAACCCGGAAGAAATACAATTGTGCGGACCTGCGCATTTTCTCAGTTAATGTGGAGAAGAGAAGAAAAAAAAAACTACCTATAGCGGCTTTTATGTATGTCGAGTGTGAGTGGAATTCTGGGAGCTTGATTGGAGCGGAAGTGGTGGAAGTATAAATAAATAAGGGTTATACTGAATATGTGTCTAACTTGGCATTTCTTGTCTCTTTTTCCTTTCAGAAATTTTTGGGACAGTCTCAAATTATTCCTTCAGAAGATATACGAAGAGGGACAAACGACGGATGGCTATGAATTGTTGCTCAAGCAGATCAGCGATATCAGCAGAAGTACAGGTGAGTGGAAAATTTTTCCTTTTTGCGCCACTGCTATTTGTCTTTCCTTCACCTTGTCTTTGGATGTCGCGAGTTGAATCAAAGTTTATGTATCGAATGGAAAAGTACGAGGAGAGGAGGGAGAGAGGGGATATTTATAGATTTTTTTCTTACCTTCCTTGAAGCCGTGTGTTTTTTTGTTATTGTGTTTCATTCCCATAAAATATTTGAGGGAAAGAGTTTCGTGGAGATTTAGTGAAAAAATATTTTAGAGACTTTCTTCGTGCAGGGAGAAAAGAACAGAGAGAGAGAGCGCGAGGAGAGGAGAGTACTTGGTGGCTTTCGGTTTATTATATTGGTTTGTTGTGTAAATTGACGGGCAGAGCAGTGCGTTGAACTTTGGGGCGCGCTCTTTTAGAGGTCTTCTTCGTTTGTACGATGTCGTGTCTTCGCATGTGTTGTGTGTATATAGCACAAAGTGTGCGCGCCAAGGAATATTGGGATGGATGGGTGGAAAGAGAGTGGCGCAAAGAGGTGGCGCAGATGCCCAAAAATGCGTATGACGCAATGAGAGTACACACTATGCGTACACTGTGTGTGATTCTTTCTCACCGCACGAAGAGAAGAATTCTTATTTAAATACCTCAACATCTTTTGGCCAATGCTTCTTCCCTCTCACTTCTGTTTTCGGCAATTCGCTTCTTTTTCTGTCTTCTCTCAGTCGCGCACGATTTGCAGGTTCGCGAGAGGGTCACAGTCTCTTTAAATGAATGACGACAGGCATTCCAGAGGTGAGAGAAAAGAGGATTTAAACCAGAGGAGGAGAGAAAAAACAGAGACTCCAACAAGAGAGACAGTACCAAATTAATGCGTATATTTTGGCTTAGGCCGAGAGTGAAATAATCGCGACGCAAATGATTGCTTTCAGTGGGTGGGAGAGATGGGGGCTTCTCTTTTGGGTGAATAAATTACAAAGCACACTGGCAAAAGGTGGGTGGGGTAGAATAGAAGAGTGTGCTGCAATGAAAGTCTCTCTCTCTCTCTCTCTCTCTCTTATTCGGCATTCTAATTAGAATTTCAATGGGATTTTCTCAAGACAGATGCTCGTGACACGTGAAAGAATGAAATTTGTCAGACTTTGTGTGTGCACAATTTTGAATGCAACTTTGTCACACGAGGAGAGCATTCTTTTGTCTTCGCCCACCCCACCCACGGCCTGGCACAATGGGAAATGGGAGAATTGTAGCGGATGTTGTGTGCCACGTTTTGATGATCCACATGACGTCATACGGTGTGTGTAAATGCGCTGTGCTGTGTGTGATGGAATGTGGATGAATCTCTTGCATACAGTGTTGTGTATTTTTTCCCTATGCGCAATGCCATCCGTTTCTGTTGTCTTTGGGTGTGCAAGAGATGAATACGGTCAGTTTAGATGGTCGGGGGGACGCTTAACGTGACGCGCGAGGAAGAGTCACTGATGTCTGTTGTGTGTGGTCAAATACGAGAAGCACGGAGAAGTTAACGGCTTCACGGTGCGAAGACTCTTGTGGATAGAAGAGATGTCAGGAATTTCGAACGCACCATCCAGCGTGTTTGTTTGTGTATTGGCTTTATCTGGTCAATGACAGTGATATGTATTTATCCCCTCTCTCTCTCTCTCTCTCTCTCTCTTTCTCGCTATTGAGATGCGGAAGATCACTCCATGTTTGATCCATATGCGAACATTACTGAAAATGTGCTAATCAAATTTGTGTGTTCTCCATTTATTGTGTGGATTTTTGCTTCCTCAAAGCACTTTGGAGTCGCGAGACGTGATCGAGTATTCAGTTCATCCAATGGAGACAGGTAGAAACTAGAATTGGCAGATATTCTTGGTTAATTCTAGAATAAAAAGAAAGAGAGGGAATTATTTGGGTTTTGCAGTAATTAGAGCGGAAAATGGGAAATGACGGTAAAGTGTTACAAAAAACAAGGTGTCTATTGTCATAAGGGGTTGGTGTTTCCTCAGTGTGTGAAATTTCAATGAAATATATAGTTAGTTTTTTTTTTCTTCTTCTAAAAATATGTTACCTGGAAATTGCATGTCAAGTTCTGAGAGTCAATTTTTGGAACTAAGCTCTCTTGGCGAAGACAATTTCCTCCGACGTCGTGTTGGCAACACAGAGTGGTTAATAATTTGGTAGTTTACACAGAGAGATTCACCTCTCACGATGATGAGAAAAGTTGGTCTCTGAAGACCTGAGATGGGCGGCGGGAGCGAAAGAGGGAGAGATTCATCAGAGTGGCAGGAACAATATGAGAGCACGTGCTTTTTTCACATTCATCATTGGAAAAGCTTCCATTTGCCTCTGTGACTTTTCGCAGGGTTCTGGAGGCGAAGGGTGTCGGAGGGAAAGTTGTCAAAGGAATATTCCATTGACAGGGACATATTGTGTGGATGATTGGCCAGAAAATGGGACAGAGTGGGTGGATTTTTCCTCAATATATATTGTGGGGGATGATGACTTCAGACACTCAATAGGAGAGAAAAGCGAGAGAAAAAATGTTGTTTTGTATATGAATGGGGTTTTGGATTGAAGGGTGGATTTTGAATTTGAGTGGAGCAGAAGAGAGAAATACACTTGGCTGGCGAGAAGGTGGGAAGAAAAAGAAAGGAGAGACGAAAGACAAGATGAAGGAAATGTCATCGACTCCGTTGTGTTGGCGTGAAAAGCTTTGGAGGGTGGAAAATGGCTCGATAGGGTTTCTCAGTGGCCTCAAAAATTCAAGTCATTCAATTGAGTCACGTCCCTGCGGAAGGGTGGCGACGTCATCGCAACCTCTCGCAAGGGTTGAATTTTCATATTAGAAAAGCTGTGGGAAGAGTGCAAAAAGTCTCACGGCTTGTCTTATCACCATCATCGGCGTCTTTTCTCACCTAAAGTACTTTTTATTGCCATGTTCTCTCTTCCATCAAGATTCTACCACCTCTTTTGTATTTCCTACCTCCTTTGCATGTCTTCCAATCAGATAGCGGAGAGTGCATTTGAGTTATTAAATTGCACATGAAGGGAATTATTATTGAAAAATTGTAATTTTCCTCCTATTTATCATACATTATATCAGAGGTATGAAATAATAATCATGAATGAACAATTGACTTGCAATAATGTTCTGCATTTTCATCATCATCTCCACGCCAACAATATTCTATATATATATATACGTATATAATATGCAATGTTTGATATTGAGGTACAAAGTATTAAATTTGATCTTGGTGTATTTGTGCTTATTCGCGTTTTTTCCCCCCATTTGCTCTTTTCTCTTTCTCACACACTGTTGTTAACCTGCAATGTTATGGCGCTGTAAGTAAATAATAATGTGCCAAGCAACGGTTCATTCATGCTTGATTTCGATGACGTAGAACCATCCATAATCATTATGATTGTATATTACAAATTTTATTTATCTCTTGTATGTTATGTGCAGAAGTAGGGAAGAGCATTAATTCATGTAGTAGAGAAGAAGAAGAAGAAGAGAGTACAAATTAAATATTTTGTGGTTTTGTGCGAAAAAAGGTCTTCGGAATGGTGGTTTATGTGTTGTTTTCATCGAGATTTTTCATCTTCCTTCAGTTGTACATAAATTTATATGTACGTTTTCATTCATACTCTCTCGAGCCTTTAAATACACCAAGAGAACAATTCCATGTGCCGAATGATAATGGCAGGAAATCACATCAAATGTGTCGGAAATGCAGTGTTTTTTTCTTTATTCCTTTTGGCCTTTACCAGTCAGTCCCTGGCCAAACCCTAAGAAGAGTGTCTATGATGTCCGCGAAGAAACGAGTCATTGACCTAGCATTTTATTTGACTGTCCGATTGTGAAGGTCAGAGTTGAGCTCCACTTAATTATGGATTAATTTAACTTGACTCAGTGAAGATTTTTATTTGTGATATTGAGCACAACTGTGTTGTTGGTCTATTTGTCTTCTCTCCCTCAATTAAGATATTTGGGAATTTTTCATGGCACACAAAAGAAGAGAGGAGAAGAAAAGAAAAAAAAGAGAGAAGAATCATCTCTTAAGTAATTTCCTTATCTGATTTTTCTCCCTTCTACAATATTCTTCTGAGTTTTTGGGAGGAAGAATAAAAGCGAGAAAAAGTTGTCAATTAATTTACTCTTCGTCTTTTCGGCAGCACAGTTTGATGATTGTGACCCGAAAGGAGGGTGGGAACGGTGAGAGATTTGAGACTTCGGCGAATTTTTGCTGAATGGAAAATTGGCGACTGTGTTGTTGTGTTTATTAATTTAAATTTGAAATTTATTGGCAGATATTTAGTGGAATTCCTGCTATTCACATAAATTTAGTAAGAGAGAAATCCCACCACCAACTGGGCGATTTTTCTCGTCAAATTCACGGGAAGAGAGCGAAGCTGTGGGGTTTAGAGAGGAAGAAATTTTGAGGGAGATGGTGTTGCATTTAAAGTGTGTGAGAATAAGCGAGAGAAGAGAATGATTCTCACAATATAATATTTGAAAACGTACATATAAATGAAATTTACATAAATTCTTGTTCATCAGCATTCCGTTGTTTTATTTCTCACATTTTTTTTCGGTCGCCTTTTCTCTTTTATACCATCACTGAACTGAAATACATTTGAGTGGATGCTCGCTTGAGGAGGAGCAGCAGCCAAAGAGACACATAGTATGGAGGAGAAAAGATAGAAGAGGAGGAATGATGTTGAAGAAGAGGAGAGAAGGAATGATGAGAGATGTATTTATTTATTTGCTGTATTATTTTGGAAGTGTTAAAGCACGGGAAAAAAGTTTCTTTTTTCCCCTCTGTCAGCATGTTAAAGAAGGTGGAATCAAGAGCCGAAAAAAGTGTGCGTAGAAAACAAAAAGAAAAATGGAATTTTTATTCGCAAGAGCGCCAATTTCAAAAGGAGTGTAGCCAATGAAGCACACAGTAAGGGACAAAATGTCCTGATGTACATATTTTATATGAACTGAAACCTACACAGTTGAGATATTAT